GACATGTTGTGAATTCTAATTGGATCAATTTATTTGCGTTCATGCGGTGGCTGCTGTTAGGAGACATCCCGACTTATCTTGTTATGATTTTATTTCTCCTTTCTACAAAATTGGGACGTTAATATATATGTACATATGCTGGTATAGTCCACCCAAACACATAGAAATCCTATTCCATGAGTGGAAGATCCAAACACTATTTGATATCACTTTATGTTGCATTACATGACTTTTTTTAGTATGATTTAGTTGTGTTAAAATTGCTTGTACTAAGATGTAATGTACTTTTTAAAATTTCCTTCCTTGTTGACACTTTTATTTCATAATTTCGTTTCATTTAAATAACCTTTGTCATTTAACGCTGTGTACAGTGCCACAAATTGGCATATACATGACCAACTTTAGGGACTCTTATAAATTGTTGTACGTGTAAATGAGAAAACTAAAATTTCATATTGTAAATGGCCACCTTATGTCAACAATAATGCAACATTACTCCCTTCCCTTTCCCCCACTCCCACCGCCCTTCACCTCTCACTATCACTCCAATAATCTCTCTCTAACAACCGCCGCAGAAGTCGTAACCACTTCCGGCAATGGTGAAAGCCGGGAAGTGGTTCCGCGGACTGTTAGGTCTCGGGAAATCGGACCGTCCCGCCAGTCCGAACTCGAAACCGCCGACAAAGAGGCGATGGAGCTTCGCGAAATCTAAACAGGACGCCGGCCTCCGGCAGCCGCAGGAGCATCCCCTCGGAGCCGTCGTCGAGGTCGGCGGCGGAAAGGGAGACGGAAGCGTTGATCCGACGAAGCACGCCGTGGCGGTTGCCGCCGCGACGGCGAGGGTTGCCGAGGCGGCCATCGCCGCCGCTCAAGCGGCCGCGGCGGTGGTGCAACTGACGAGCAGTGGGAGGTCTCCTTGCGGCGTCGATGCCGGCGCGCGGAGCGGCGGGGCGGAGGACCCAACGGCGCGCGTTAACTTTGACGGCGCATTTTACGGGGTCCGCGAAGTTCTCGCGGCCGTTAAGATCCAGTCTCACTTCCGAGCTTATCTGGTAAATTACTACCCCTACTTCTCGAGTAATTAACCAAACAGATGTTAAGACCCCATTTCCATCTCAGGGTAGAGTGGTCTTTTCAACCCTTTGAATTTGAATAGATTTAACCATAAAGGCGTGAATACTTTTCGGATAATTCTCGAATTATGACCCATAGCTCGAATTTATTATGATTGACCTCAAAAATAAAGATTAGCATATTTTTTTAAGGACTTTTATCATTAATTCTTTACTAAATATTAGCATATTTAAATGTTATAGTGGTATAACATTTAGAGATTAGCATATTTAAATAAGAGATGCTTTATTTGAGATTTTGAAATAATCATAAAAGTTTGGTTATAATTTTGTAAATGATTTGGTGAAAATATAAAAATTAATCCTCACAAAAAGAAAATACTCTTCCGTCCCTAAATAAACTTCCCTTTTCGTTTTTTCTTTGTCCCTAAATAAATTTCTCTTTTCTTTTAACAACCTCTATTATCCCTCACTTTTTTATACCTTACCTATCACGTCATACTTTTTTACTAATAATTTATATATCACATTTTACTTTTACACATCACATCAAGAGTATTTTTTGAAAATCAACACAAAAATATTCCTACCTTAAATCTTGAAAAAGTCAAAAATTGAAGTTTATTTAGGGACGGTAATTAACGCAGGGTATAGTTAACGTAGTTTTTACTTATAAATATAAAGAAAAACATTGTCAAAACATTATCAAATTATTGAGAAGCTACTGAGAGTGTAATCAATTTCGAGACGTATGGAGTAGTTATGGGGTAATATTAAAACAATTTTATTAAGTTTATTTCATAAAACATTTTCAAAATATTTTTTTTCTAATTAATTTTATTCTAATTTTTGTAAAATTTATTTGAGAAAATCTTTTTACTCGTAATATGGGGGAGTAGATTCGGTTGGTGGTGATAAGATGGGTAAGAGAGTGCATTGGGAAAAGTAAAATTACCCTTTTTTTATTCCTATTTTTAAAAATAAATTTGTTTTGGATTAAAAAAAAACGTATGCACAGCTTTTAAGATAGAGAGTCGTACAGTTACAGCTTGAAGAAGACCGAAGAACAGTGAATGATGAGTGTATAGTAGTTGTCTGCTTAGTTTGTACTGTTTGGTTACTATACAGATTCTCAATCTATCGAGCCCTCTCTTTTACACGGACACTGCGTCAAAAAAAAAATAGATTTCGTTGTTTTTTTCCCCTGAATGCCGTCAGGATTATTTCCATTTTTTTACTAAAATACCTCACACTTTTTTTTCGAAGAAAGTGTAATTAAAGAATGGGGATGGTTTTCATGACATTATCCAGCAATGTCATGACATGACTTGAGGTCGCTCCGATGTCTCGTTTATAAAATTGACGATCCCTACCCCTAACTCCCCGGTAAACCCTTACCATACCCTAATCCGACACATCCCCAACCCCTTCAATTGCACCCCAAGTTAATTTACTTTGGAGTCAAAATTTGACTCCAAAGTCAAAATTAACTTGGGAGTGCAATTAAGGGGGTGTGAGTGTGTGTTTGAATCGGGGTGGGGTGGGGGGGTGAAATCATTGATTTTACAAACGAGGTACCGAAGCACCCTGGGTTATTCCATGACATGGGATTCCAATGTCATGGGAACCCCATCGTTAAAGAATAGAAATGAGAAGATAATCTATTTTAAGGGCAAGGAGTACATTTTACACATAAAAACATGCCTAAAATAAAAATGAAAAGATAATTCGTTGACGACGAAAAAGGGAAGAAGATATTTTTTTGGATAGAGAGAGTACATTAAAACCTCTTTCAAACAAGATATGAAATGATTATATTATTTATCAAATATGTAGTGAAAATAATTAAAAACTTTTTATTAAATTAAGTTCAAAGTGCCCACAATTATTTATAAAGAAACAAGAGAGTTGTAACAAAAAAGTCCCCACAATTTTATTAAACTAAGTTAAAAGTCTTTTTTTAGGTGTTTATTATGGCGCCAAAAGCACTGTTCTGTTCCCCCAAATTACTTCTTTTGTGTAAAATCCTGTCATGTCTGAGCTTTCTCTCTGGGGCAGAGGCCCCAAGCCTATTTCCTTTTGTCCTACACCATTAGGTACACCTTTCCTTTTTATCCTATCTTTATAGGACTGCCCCATGAAAAGTCCTATTCTTTAGAAATGCCAGCCTTTTCACATTAGATTAGAAGACTTTAATGGCCTTGATAAAGCTTCTCAATTGTCCATGCCTATCTCTCTGCACACCTTCTCTACATGTGCCATCATTTTCTTCTTCTTTATGGCAGAATATGTTTTATTGTAAATTGACATTTTAGTCCTCAATTTTTTTGGAGGGTTAATCAACAACTCAATGTAATTCCAATTTCGTTGGGGGTATCTATGAGGGCAAAATGGACTCGGTTTTACTCTTGTGAAAACAGAGAGACTCTCCATTACACCCTAGCAGCATTTTTGCATTTTCTACCCAAAACTTCATAGAAAGTAAGGGAAGCTTAATTTTACACTTTGATTCATTTTATTATCTACTAAAAATTGTCAATGACTTCTGCACAGAACAAACCTTGGTTAAAACCCATTGGTGGCAATTTTAGTTATTTTTGTGACTTTTTAACAGAACCATACTCCCTCCCTCCCAATATAATTCACCTCTTTACCATTTCATGTTGTGTTAACTTTTGTTTGCGAAAGTGTTTTTATTGATGATTTGATACAATAAAATAGTCATGTCACCACTTGTTTTGTAGGATTTTTGATATAGTTTTTAAATATGTAATTTGTACTCTTTTTATTTCTATATCAATTTGTAAATTAAATCGTTTTAAAAAAGTTGAGATTTTGTACGTTATTCGAAAGAGGACAAAATTTTGGGGGACAGAGAGAGTATATACAAATACAATCACCTTTCATACAGAGTATTATTTTCGTTAACTTTTAGAAATACCGGGTTGTGTTTTTTACTTTTTTTGTCAAAATATATTGAAATAAAGTATTTAGAATTTTAGATAATTCAGATTACTCAAAGCTAAGTTTGACTCCATTTCACCAAGTTCATGAATTGAAAGTCTTGTTAGGCCTTACCAAATGAGATGTAAAACTGTCACTAAGAAAGCAATTAGATTTTTTATAATGTGTTTTTTTGTTGCTAAATCCGAAGTCAAGGAGAGCATTAAGAGCTTTGAAGGCACTGGTGAGGCTTCAAGCACTGGTTAAAGGTTACCTGGTCAGGAAGCACACCGCGGAGTACCTACGTGGGCTTCAGGCGATAGTCCAAGCCCAATCAAGAGCTCGGGCCAGGCTTCTTAAGGTCTCCGAATCACCGCAATCCAGTACCAAATCCGTCCAGTTCCATCAGCCTGTAAGTAAAAAAAAACTTCATCCCTCCCCACCTAAACATTCAACTTTGTTTATGATTCCTAGGCTTGTTCCTTTGACACCCAAGCCCAGTGTCTTAATATGACGTTGTTCGCCCGGTGATAAAATTTGGTAAGAACTCGTTTTGATGATCTTGAAATTGATGGTGTGTAGGGTCCTCCTACTCCCGAGAAATTCGAGCAAGCCTTTCGAACAAGGAGTATACACAATGATGACCCAACCATTCTTAAGGTACTTTCCATTACTTTTTGGGTGTCATATTATGACACTCGAGTTTTTACGATGTTCTGTTGGACTCCAAAGCTGTGGTTCTTTCCTGTTCCCCACCCTAAACCCCCCTCCCCACAAATCGTCGTTTAGCTACAATAATTATTCTAGCAAAAGGCAATTTGGGGGACTAAGTGGGGGCAGGGGTAGGAATCATTTTGGGTACAACGGAAGGCCTCGAAGGCCAGTGTTATAATATGACACCAACCTTGATGTCAAAAGAATTTAGCCCAAGTAGAATTCTTCTTTCTTATTAATATGGTTGTTGCTAAAAAAACATTTGCAAGGCTTAACAAACATGTATCTCCAATAAAAATAATGCAGAGGAGTCATTCAAGGAGGAGAACAATGGGCGAGCATGATAGAGTGCGGTCGAGCCGTATGGACTATCGGATGGATCCGTGGGCCTCGGACCAACAAGGATCAACCAGATCCGGCCCGATTGATGACTGGAAGACGGACAAGATTCTTGAAATAGACATAGCGGCAGCAGGGGGAAACCCCAGACAAAGAAACCTCTTCCACAGCTCTCACCTCAGCTTAGTCTCTGACCAATACAGTCTCTACAGCCTAACGACATCGAAGGACTCCACGGCCCACCAGATTGCCCACAGCCCGTCGTACTGCGAGGCCCAATCCGTGAGCCCACAAAAGTACGACGAAAGCAGCTTCTGCACTGCGGACAATAGCCCGCAGTACTTCTCGGCTTCGTCCAAAGGAGGTGCTGGTGGAGGCGGGAAGGGTTCCAGAGTGGGGCCCTTCACGCCTACCAAGAGCGATTCTTCTAGAAGCGTCCTGAGCGGGTACTCGGACCATCCAAACTACATGTCCTACACCAAGTCAGCAAAGGCCAAGATGAGGTCATTCAGTGCCCCTAGACAGAGGCCTCACTACGAAAGGCTGAGCTCAGCGAAGCGGTACTCCATCCACGGGTACGGCGAGCTGGGAACGAACCCACAACGGGTCCCGGCCCTGCAGCAGGCGTATCCGGGCTCGGGTCGGTTGGACAATCTCGGCATGCCCGTTCGAGATCGGGCCGGGTTCAACAGTGGTGGTGGTCTTTGGCATAGATATTAATTATTTTACCAATGCTAACTAACTTATTATCCCTGTAGTATATGGTTCTTTCTCAATGGACACATTTTGAGGGTTGGGATCAGTAAAAAGAAGAAGAAAAACTACCCAGGGTAATGTTATTTGTTATTTTTGTTTTTGTTAATGTCACTTCAAGAGTTACTATTCATGCCAGTGTGTGAATAGTGATTTTTGGAGGAGGGTTAACCAGAATGGGAATTATGACAATATCTTTATAGGTAGATGTAACATGAAAGAGTAAACTAATATTTTCCAGATTTTGCTATAATTCTGTGTATGTATAATTTGGGATTCTGCTTTGCTTAATGGGAACTGTTTATATATACTATTGGTCTTTCAACTAGTGGTCCTTCAAGTATCGGTTGTGCATGATTGGTCTTTAAATTTTAAAAAGTTCATAAATAGTCCTTTAATTTTATGAGTTATATATGATTGATCTTTCAAGTTTCAAAATTTCTTAAAGTAGTCTTTAAAATACATGTCTCCCTCCAGGCGAGGTTGTTTTCTGCACTTGGCTAGATGGGTCTTTTTTACGGTAAACATTAAAAGCAAAATGGAGTGCTAGGGGAAGGGTAAACGGTAAGCGTTACAATGGGCCCGAGGAAGCACAATTTTTTAAACAATCTTGTTAAGTTGTTAGGGTATATCAAGAAGTTTTCTCAAAGTCTACATCGAAAATATGCAGCAATATTTTGATAGTTTACATTGATACAAAATATTAGTGCGATCAACAAATTTTGCACAAGCATTTTGTGACGATCACACTACATTACACTGATACAATATGAAGGTGCACACTTATAATGTACAATTTGGGGTATAACTTTAAGGTATTGTTTGGACGGTGAAAAATGGCAGAGAAAAAAAAATGTGATGAGAAAACAGAACTTTCAATGTGTTTTCCTCTGTTTACATAAGAAGATGAAGAATAGAAATAAAAAACGAATGAGTCTAAGCCTAAAAGTTTTCTCACCCCATGGGGTGAGAAAAGTATCTTTGGGAGAAAAAAAGTGAATTTACAATTTTGCCTTTATTGTTAATATTTCACCATCCCTTTAAAAAGGATAAAAATTTCTTTTTGTTGTGTCACATTTTCTTTTTTTATCACTTTTTTTCATTATTTTCTAATCATCCAAAATTCCAAATAACTATTGCTCCGTAGTATACTTTCATTTTGTCTTCTTACCATTTTCTTTCTCATCATTTTATTTCCTTCCATTTTCTTTTCTCATCCAAACAAAAGTTAGTAAACAAATAGTTTAATTATTTTTTTTAAATGGAAAACATGTTTTTTTTTTCTTGAAATGGATACTGGGCTGTGTATATAGACTTGCTATTTTAGCCCTTCATAATTAACCTTCTCACATCAGGCCAGCTGGCAAGTTGAACGGCCCAAGAGCCAGGCCTGCCGATGCGTGTATTCCAGCTGGCAGGACGAGCAGCCCAATAGCAAAATCCGATCCGTTACTGTCTGCTTGGACAATACTTCCTCCTTCTCTAAATATTTGTCACTTGTATTACCGAGGTAAAATATCAAGTTTTTTCAATTGATTTTATTTACATATTGGTATATAAATAAAAAATAAAATTTACATATCAAAAAACTACATAAAAAAGTTTTTGAAATAAGAGGTGTTAAGAACAAATGTGACAATTATTTAGGGACGGAGGGTGTATAATTTGAGGGAAAATATTATTCACTGTTTTCTACGAGTATTATCATCTTTGTATAGATTAGATTAGATATAGGGATAGAGATCATTTTACTTTAATTTTTTTATTATCTATTCTATATTCAATGCCAATTTTGAATAGGGTTTTAAAATAAAATTGTAATTTTATCTGTGCATTATCTCTGTCTCACTTTATTTGTTCAGTTTGATTTTTTCGTATCAAACTAAACAAACTTTGAGTTTCAATTAGTCTCAATTATATGAAATACTTTGTATTAGTAAAAGAAATACAATTTTAAAAAGCTCTCAATAAGATAAATATAATAAAATCATTTGTATGCTAAACGATATACCATATTTTTCTGAGTTGAAGTTCAAAGTTCACCTAATTTAACTTAAAAGTCAAACTGAACAAATAAACGAGACAGATAAATAAATTTCTAAATTTAATATGAATGAAATATTTATTTTATAGTTTTATGTTTTTGGACTTCTGATTTAAATAACTTTAATTAAAATAGTTGTGAAAAATATGAAAAAATGAAAAAAAGAAAAGGGGATGGAAGACATCAATAGAAAGAAAATAACTAGCGTGAAGAGATGATCACATCCACACAAAATGGCCTTACTATTGAGTATTGACATAGTCTAATCATATTTTCTTTATTTATTTATTTCATTCTTTATTTGTTTGTTCGAAAAATTTGTATCAATACAAATAAAATTGTGTGAGTTTACATAAATATTTAACAAATGACATTGATGCTCCTAGGATTTTCATATGTTTACAACTTTACATCGTTGCTCCTAAAGTTGATATATGTTTATATCCTTATTCCATGTCTCGGAGCACCGATGTAAACTTATGTCTTTGTTGGAGTGACGATGTAAATATATGAAAATAAGGAATGAATTTTTGCGGGATTGAGAGAGTAATTGTCATAATGACAAAATAATAACATGCCTCCCCAATGTTTTGTTGAACATAATCTTACGCACAAACATTACCTAAGATGTAAAACCCATTGTTAAATGCCAAGGGATAGTGAGAAATATATTAGCAGCATTTTTTTTTTCCACTTCATAAAAAAAGTTTCTAGTGACTACAGAGAAAAATGGTAAAAGCTGACCCTTTATCACGCTGCCTTTGCGGTCTCACGAGCCAGAGAAAGTTTAGCTAGCAAACCACACAGCTGAAGATATGAACCCACTCCTTCACAGATCCTCATGTGTGCAAATCCAGTTTCCTGCTCCCCGCGTTACAAAATGAAGTATCAAAAAGAAGTGCAGAGCAATATATATATATATATATATATATATATATATATATATATATATATATATATATATATATATGAAGGTCAAGAGGAAAATAATGAAACTTTTCGCTTTTGGTCTCACGACTATTAGATCATTCTCCCTATTCTCCAATCTCGGAGCGCGACTATGGATATCTTGTCCTTTTTGGTCTTTTCCCAATTTCAAGGCTAGCATTGAAAGATATGAAATTAACGGGATGAGCGGTTGGAAGGACCGTGTTATTTTAGTTGGAGGTCTCTTCGAGTAGGGACACACCTTCCCCAGACCCTACTTTTGTGGGACTCAATTGGATTGTTGTTGTTGAAGTGGTTGGAAGGACCAAAAGTGGCAAGGAATCATAGGGGTTTACCAAAAAGTGGAAGCCAAGAGACGAAAAAAAGTAGAAATGACCCAATAGTCATGGTACCTTACGAGGGAAATTTTCGACGCCTTAGTTATAGAAATGCATACCTTCATAAACTCCAATTTTATGTACTCAGCCATGTCGTAGTTCTTTATGATCCGGAAAAGGGTAGTGATAATGTCGGTAGGAGAGTAACCCATATCGTATAGGGCCTTCAACCCCACACAAGCATCATCAAATTTTCCTTCTAGCACATGGCGTACCATATTCTTCACATGAAGGGGATGGGGCTGGTCACACACCTGGAATTCTTGCAGAATATAATTGTTAGAAAGTAGGAAATGGCAGTTTGGCAAGTAGTGGAGAGCCACCACCTGCCAGTGAGGCAGAAGCACCAGCAGAATGAACAAAGAAAGTGATGTTATGCAATCCAACAAAGCTTAATGTAGCAAATGGTATGTACAAGACTTTATGGGAATTTAGTTCCCGTTTGGAAGCCCTTTATTTTTCCTTGTCAACCTCACCATTTAGACAATTTTAATTAAAAAGTACAGTGTACAACATTATTTACTTTTTGCTGAAATGAATGAAAATGAAAATCCTGCCTCTACTTCCATACATCATTTTCTTTGTTTTATCACTAAAATATATTTGATTGATAGTCCTCCGTATAATTCAGCGACTTCATCAACTCCTGCCAATGCAGCACATGAATTCAGCGACTTTAACAAAATTTGGCCTAACCAAACAGGTTCTTATACTACATTAGGGACTAGAAGACATGGTATTGATACTATATATCATTATTATTTTTTGAATGGATATATCCTTATTATTAATTTTTTAAGATCCTAAACTACTAGAAAAGTTGATCAAGTATCATTATGATGCAAGAGAAAATGTAAAAATAATACTGTAATAATAAGTGCAGGTCTGTAAGTATTTTAATTGCAATTTAGGAACACTTACAAGTTACAGCCTACAGGTATCATTAGAATGCAAAATTAATATCTTAAATAACAATTACTCCCTCCGTCCGGAAATATTCTTCCCATTTTCCTTTTTGGTCTGTCCGAAAATATTCTTTCCATTTTCTTTTTTAGTATGCTTTTTAAGGCTAAATATCAATAATACCCTTCTATTTTATCACAAATCTACTTTTTTAATACTTTTTTAATAATAAAAGGAGATTCAAAAGTTTATAGTATGTGCATTTTTGAAAATTTTGCATTTTTTTTACTATTCCTTAATAAGCGTGCCAAGTCAACACGGGAAGAACATTTCCGGACGGAGGGAGTATAATACTGAAAAGCTAGAATCAAAATCACAAAAATTGGTTTCAAGATTATATGGTGTCTGTGTCAAACCTTGAAAACATTTTCTTGGTTGACGAATCCAAACCCACTAAAAGTTGCTTGTAGGTTATTCAAAGCCTGCCTCATATCTCCATCCGCAGTAAATATTAAAGCCTCGAGACCTTCTGGTACATAAGGAACCTGCAAAAGTTGAAACATCATTTTTCTACCCAAACCAAACATATGCAGTAACTCCCACTCATGAGTAGAGTCTTGGTGGGCAAGATGCACTCGGACCTTACCTTACCTCTACCCAAGGAATAGAGATGCCTTAAAATAGCTTTTTCAAAAGTGCTGTACCTTTTCAGCACCAACCACTATCATAAGGCGCCCAAGGATCTCTTGATCAGATAATCTACCAAATCGGACTAGGGCACATCGACTCTGGATTGGCTCAATGACTTTAGAAGAAGTATTGCAAGCAAGGCCAAAACGAGTAGAGTTAGAATATATTTCCATTGTCCTCCTTAAGGCTTGTTGAGCTCCGGTTGTCATGCTGATCGGTATTCAAAATGACAAAAAAACATTATAGATACACTTAAACAAGATAATGGCTATCAACTACTCCCCTTGTCCCAAAGTTGGAGTACACCTTTTGTACATTCTAAAATAGTGTTCAAGTTTCCTTTTAAAGAATGAAAAATATGGTTCATATTATTGATCTCTCCTCTAAATAAGCTTCAAACACACAATTTAAATTTTAAACTTTCTTAATAAGTGTATTAGATCAAACTCAAACTTATTTTGGGATGTAGAGAGTGAAATACAAAGAGAAGTGTGTTTTTAGACAAAAAGATAAGAGTGCTCAATAGCCCCTTCAGGATCAGATACGTTGATGGGAATGAGAGTTACGTAAGCATATAACCGTATAGGTCCATACACGGTACAACTTATTTTCAAGGAATGAGTGCTTTTGAGAAGAAGAAAGTACTTCTCAAAAAAGAAGTGCTTGACAGAAATAGAGAAGTGCTTTAAAAATTAAAAAAACCATATTTAAAAAAGCTTTTTTAAGATTGAGCGAATAGGTGTGTCTTTAGAAAAACACTTCAGTGCTTAAATGAGAAAACACTTATGACTAAAAGATACACACATGTTCTGAATTTCAGTGGCCTATAAAGCAATTGGAAATCGCTAACATACCATCTTCAATCTTCAACCAAAATTATAATACTGTACACCATAAGCTTTTTTAACAGGCTAAAAGTTTCCAGGTACCGAAATTTGAAAACAATATACGAAATCACTAACCTGTCAGCTTCATCCAAAATTATAATCTTGTGGCGACCAGGAGGAAGAGTGACTTTTTTCTGAGCAAACATCTTAATCTTATTTCTAACAACATCAATCCCCCTGGACAGTCAACGTAAAAGTTTTGAGAAACAAACAATCACATCGGTAAAGAGAAATGTAGGTTGTCACATGTAACTACATAATTACTTCCCACCTATCATCTGATGCATTTAGCTCCAAAACTGCTTCCTTAAAATGTGGTCCCAAAAGTTCATGAGCAAGAGCCAATATACTAGTAGTTTTACCCGTACCGGGAGGACCCTGAACAACACCTTCAAATACTCAGTGAGAATGATAAACAGGACCACCCAATTCAATTTGTCATTGAATTCTTTCTTCTTTGACCGAATGTTTGAATAAACAAACTGGAGGTTGTTTCTTTTACATCAAGAAAACACAGGGAAATACGTTATTGGTCTATTTAGAACTAGAAAATACTAGAAAACGGAAATCATAGAGACCATTTGAAGGAGAAAATGTCGGAGAACATACAACATATGTTGAAACACGATAAATTAATTTTATGTATTTGTTGACCTAGGAATTGAAAGGAGGTGATTAGACATAATCTAAGACTTTTGTCCCTTATTAAAGATATGACCTTATGTAAGAGTGTCTAAACATCTAGGACTAAGGTAGTTGCGTAGCCTTTTGGGCCTTGGTTGTAGTTTTCGCTCTTGACATTGTGTGCATTCTATGCCTGGGGTATTGTTGCTAGGGGCATTTGGGTGATTTTTGTCTCTATGCGTTTTTTTTACACTTAGTTTAATTTTTGCTTGTCATGCTATCTATGTTGCTCGAGATGGGGTCTCTTCGAAACAGTCTCTCCACTTTCGAGTTGGAAAGTCCCTCTAATTTTGAGTAGGGGTAAGGTTTGCATACACACATGACGTACACACATGACACACCCTCCCTAGACCCTACTTTCGTGAAATTTTACTAGGTTGTTGACACTCATTTTATTTACGGTTAGGTTGTTGTTGTTGTTGTTGGTCTTATGTTCAAAACCAAAAACTTACATATGCAGAATACGGCAACTAAACTCATATTCATTTTTCCTTTGCAGTTTGCATTTCCTAATGTTAAACCAAACATAGTCCCAGTCATTCCCAGATGGAATCAAAACAGATTGTCTATACACTCGTAATGTGTCCCCAAACTCGAAGACTCCAGCTCTGAATAAGGTCCGACTAGAAATAAAAGTGGAGCATCAAAAAATCTGCCAGATGGGATACGAAAACCCCCAAAATGCATAGTTCAGCAATCTCTAAATTCTCTCGTTTTGAACTCTGAACCAAACAAACTGAGAGCATAAATACTTCGCAAATAACTGAGTGAAGCAGGGTGAACAAGGTCGCTTACAGTTAGAATGAGATTGGGCATGTTTCCATCGCGGGCGATGACTTGGAGCCGGGAGACGGCGTCTTCGTTGCCGACGATGTCGGCCACCTTGGTCGGCCGGTACTTCTCGACCCACGGGATGTCTGGGCCTGAAGATGAAGAGGAAGACGACGCCATTGATGGTTGAATTAGAAGAATTGATCTTCTTCTCCTTCACGAATGACAGAGATCTTCAGAGCTAAAACCCTCCCCCGATATCCGAATCCTTCAATTTGGAGGGAAACACGGGATGGACTTTGGTCAGTTGGCTATCCCGTTCTTGTACTCCCTGGGACTACTAGTAGGGCTGGGCCAGGAAAACCTACAACTAAAACCCAACCGAAATCAATTGAACAATACCAAAAAAAAACTGCACCGTGAAAACCGAAACCTAACTCAAAAAACCAAATCGAACTGAACCGATTGAATTCGGTTTCGGTTACGGTTTTGTCTATTTAAAACCGAACCGAACTGCTAAAAACCAAATAGCATTTATTTATACCTTTTAAGTATAACACTTCCGGTATTATTTCGAGTTTAGACCGGACCGGACCAAAATCTAAATGTCTAATTTTTTTGGACTGAAGACCAACCTGAAATCTAATCGTTCCAGGTTCGGTCTAGACCTATCAGTCTGGTTCGACCATTTTTTGGTCTGAAACTAAACTTAAACAGTCTTACACCCTAGTCACTCTTTGCGTCAAAACTTAGAGGGTGGTTCCCATTATATATATTGCTTAACATGAGATGATTCAAGAGTCTTACGATGTTTTATTTAAAAATTGACAGTTTCTACCCCTCATAATTCTCTCGTAAATTTCTTCACCCTGACTCGATCCGAACCCACCGCTACCCCCTTCAATTGCACAATATAATTTTTTTTTTACTTTAAATCAAAATTTGGCTCCAAACTCAACAAAAATTTAGGGTAAAATTAAAGAGGGTGTAGGGATGAGTTCAAATTGGGTCGAGGTGGAGGGGTTATCGGCGGAGTCAAAAGGGTGAAAACCATCAGTTTTTTAACGGAGCATCGTAATAAGACCTTTGTGTCATCTCATTATATTGATCTCAAATTTAATAATCCACATCCGCTTGCACCTTTAGTTCGATATGAAGTTTTAAAAAAGATGAAACCACGACTACTGTAAGTCTGCAACCAATCTAGTTTTGAGGACATGATGAATGTTCTTTGTGGAATGAACTTAGAAATTGTAGTTAGTTGGTTTTGTGATGATTAGGCATGAACTATCCAAGAGAATATAATAGAGTACTTTCAGTACATGGTAATTATAAAATTGTGGAAGAGCATTTGGAATCCATGTAAAATGTGTCATCAGTGGGAAGAAGATCCTAATATTATCGGAGAAGAAAGACTTATGGTGCGAAAGCTCCTTGTCATCGATAACATTGACATATTTTAGTCACCTCAAAACAAGATTTATATTCCTTTTTTTAAATTAAAAAAGAAATCTCTCTAGATAGTAGTAAAAAGTATGAAAATACCAAAATATGAGTTATAAGTCTTTTAAGACCAAAATAAGAGTACAATATCAATGTGGTGTAAGCGTATGCGTTGGCATGAGTGTGATGCGAAATGATGACAGTGTGATATATCAGTCTTCACTAGCAATTCGTGTCGACATTCTGGTTGCCGGCGGCGACAGATGACAGTATGGCGGTGATAGCGTGACAGTTCAAATGTGACAATATGGTGAGCGTGGTAGCGTAACAATGATAGTGTGAACTCATATTTCGATCTTAAAAGACTTATGACTTCTATTTTGGCATTTCCATAACTTCTTACTCCTATATAAGGAATTCTCCCAAATTTAATACAATACTACGTATTTTTCATTCTTTTGAAAATAATTGTTCACATATCTCATTTTAACACTTTAAAATACACCGAAATCAAATTAGTATGTACAAGGTCAAAGTTCGTGTGGCTTAACAATATCATTGTGATTCTACTAAATGAGAGATCATCTGTTCGAACTATAACATAGACAGTAACTCTTTGAGCATTAGAAAAATTATGAACATATATGAGTTATTAGTATGAAAAAAACATATCGAGTAAGCTATATAAATTTAAAGATCATGTTAGGGGTACACCAAAAGTGTAACTTATTTATACACATCTAACGTCTACTATACGATTTTTATTACTTCTATTCTTTCATATCTACATCAAGAAATGTGTTGTGAAGAGTCTCTTGATGTATGACATAAATAAGGTACATTTTTGATGTGTTTTTATCATTTTAATGATTTTATACTACATACACAAGCTTTTTCTTTTTTTTGAAAATCATACACAAGCATCTTATTCATAAAAACGGATGATCCCCGTTCTCGAGGATCCTTTCAGACTCAGTCGGACGGTAATTGAGAGATGATAAATTGGACTTTGATCACAGATTGATAACAAAGAGTGGAGCTTGGACATAGTACTCGCAGAGAACCAATGCTCAGTATAACTGCTTCTCAACACAGTTGTCGAGAATCGAACTCGGGTGCACCACACAAGCATCTTGTTCATGAAAACATGCGTGACATCTTCCTATAATATTTTAAAATTTAAGGATTAAGCTATGTGTATCCCAACATTTATACTCCAATTTGTACCCCTCAAGTTTACATCAACATTTTGTGTTGGTGTAAAACAAATTTTTGTTAACGCATCAATACTTTGTGTCCGTATAAATATGTTTTAACGCACCAACACTTGTGTCGGTGTAAACCATCAAAATGTTGGTGCATGAGTGTAGTGTACAAATGAGGTATATTATTTGGTGTAAATGTAGCATGGTCCAAATTTGATGGTCAAAGTGAAAAAGAAAAGAAGGCGAACAAGAAAAACTAAAAAGGGATGTGACCGGCGATCACGGCATTCGGCGTTAGTACCCCACCGCCTCGCGGACCACCATTTCTTCGTCTCCTTCCTTTTTAATCCGTCGCAAGCGCGGCTGCCGGAAAATATCACCGGCACGAGCTAAAGTCACTTTAGAATCGAAATAGCAGAAGCGGTTGTTTCTTTTGAAGTTTTATTGCACTCGGGAAATGCCATAGCGTGTTCAGCTGGCTCACCTTCTACCTGAAATTCGATGGACGGCGCTTCACTGCTGCAGCGATACCGTCGCGATCGCCGGAAGCTTCTGGAGTTTTTGTTATCGTCTGGCTTGATCAAGGAAATTCGAACTCCGGCTGGCTCTAGTACCGTCTCCAACCTCAACCTCGATGCTCTAAGCATAGATTACGTTCTGGAATGCATCCAATCCAGTAATTATGTTCCATTTCTTATTTTTTAACTTTTTCGACGGAATTTGAAGTTATCTGTTATATGTTCGTGTTTCCAATTCAGAGTTTTCAAGCACACATTTGTAAATTTTTTTAAATTATTGACTTTTTTTTGTAATGTATAGGTCGTGTGGTAGATGTTTCTGTAGCTAGTAAGAGATATCGGGAAGAACTTCAACAGCCAATAACGGTAATGCTATATGATTGAAGTTAGTCTTTGTTTTTTCAGGAAGGAGATGGAAAAATGATGGAACTTAGTGTTGGAAAAGAATCAAGTGCAGAAAATTATGGATTATTTGATTTTTTCTTATAAATTATAGTTTCAAGCACAAATGAATTTTTTTCAGTATTAATTTCTATATTAATTCGCCCTCTCTGTCTCTCCTGACATTTCAAGATGTCAAGGACATTGCAGTGAACCTTATATAAAGAACAATGATAAAAGGCTTTCTTTGTGAGTAGTAGAGAACTTTATCTAGAAAACAATGACAATAAAACAGCGAACCATATATGGAGAACCATGAATCATGATACACCAACAATCCAACATTTCTCTGTAGATTGGTGAATCTTGGTGAGTCCAGCATGTGAGGACTAAATGCTTGTTTGATTTATTAAGTTTAGAAACAATTACACGATCTATTATATGCTTGTGATGTACAGAGTATTTATGTAGATTCAGGGGCAAAGCCAGCACACCCCTTATTCTGAACATGTGTTAGGCTGGGTTGGAAGTTAAAAAATAATTCATTCATATAAATTTTCATAGCAAGAGAAATTTAACTGAACTCAGGAGGACGGGAGTTTGATGTGGCTTCCATCTCCTAAATCTGCCATGCATGGATTGCACCATTTCAATACGGTGAATGGATCTTGGTCTGTAATTCATTGTCCCTACATGCAGGCTGAGAAAGGATATATAGCATGTTCGTTTCATACTAGTTTGTTATTTTAAATAAAGAACCCATAGTTTGCCCCAAAATAAGCTTGACACTTAATCACGTACTCTAAATACCTTTATTACTACAGATTTAAGTTAGATGCAATGATGCGTTTTTAGTTGACACATTTATTTAATGCATTTCTTTTGTAACTCAATCTTGAAGGTATAATGGTGAAGTCCCAACAATTCCATTCCTAGTCTTTCGACTATGGAAATTTTATGTTCTGCGTTTTCTATTTGTCTGGATGAAATATGTGATCTTTCTTGCTCTTTCTCTATTGCAGATGCAGTCGCACTTTGGGGATTCATATTTTCTTCTTTCGGGTGCAGAAACAGCCGGGTCTCCTCCCAGACGGATACCACCTCCTGTTGTTGCGTACAACTATAACAATCATACATTTAGTGATTCTGATCTTCCAAGTTCTCGTTCTGGTTTTGAGAATGAATTGAAACATGCACACCCTGGACCAACAAAGTCACTCCCACGAAATCATGTTCATATCCCTAAAATTGGATTACCTACCTTACAAACAGGTATTTATTGTATTTATTATCGCAAGAAAAGTCAGAAAAGTGATAAATGAAAACAAGTCATTCCGTATGAACCCTTTTTCGAAATGATTGTGTGGTGAAGGAGTCCGAGGCTTATGTAACCAACACATTGTTCATCATGATTTTTCTCCATTCAAATGTTGCTTGATTAAACTGATACAAAGTTTGGGATTCCTGAAGGACTATTGGATGATGACTTGAGGGAATCTGCTTATGAAATATTCCTTGCTTGTTTGGTGTTTTCTCGGTAACTGCTCCGCCATATTTTACAATTTACATCTTCATTTATATGTTTGTTTTTAAATGCATTGGGCAGTTAGGGAAGCAATGCATCATGTGTATAATGGAAATAACCTCTCTCTTTTTCCCAGGGGTAAGGTTGCGAACATCTTGACCCCCATACCCCTATAGAGCTGGGGTTATACTGGGGTAATTTTTAAAATTGTTTTCATACTTTGACAGACCATTCAGCACATCAGAATTCCAAATACTCACTGTGTACCAATACAATATAATTAGCATGTTTTGACTCGACACGTATTACGAAATCTGAAATAAAATAACCAAAAATTATCTTTCATTAAATGGAAACACAGATTTTTTTGGGACAAACTGAAAAGGTAAACCGGAAGCTTAATTTGGGACGGTGGAGTATTTTTTATATACATATTTGTTTTGCACTTTTGCATTGCGATTGCTACTACTTTGCTTCTTGTCTTAAATCCATGTTTTTTGTACTAGTAAGATGGAACTTCATTTGAATGAGAATAGAAAGAAGAACTCTAGATTTTTGGCTGGGTTGAAGAATAAAAGGGTTAAAAGGCATCCAATGCCCGATTCTTTTGACAGGCCATCAGAGCTCATTGACATTTTTCGGTCACAAATGCAGGCATGTAATTGCTTTTCATTTGATTTGATTTTGTTTTTTAATATTCTTCATTTCTTCTATCATACTTAAATGTGATGTATTTGGGATATTACTTGAAGTTGTAAACTTTGTGCGACTTGCAAAGAACTACTTTGACACCTAAAATTCTCGTCATCTGTTTATTTTTATGTATGGTTATGAACACCTAGGCTTCTTCTGTGGTTATAAGTTTAAAATTATGCAGGGTGCTTTGAATTATGTGTGAACATTGTCATTGTCTTGGGGTTAAATTAGTGTTTGAATATCAATTAGAAAAAGAGAGGCAGCAGATGTCTTACGGTGTTACCTAGTTTTGTTTCTTTTAAATTTTGTTGTATGCTTGTTAACTTTTTCCTAATGCTGGAATAACTAATATTTCTTATTCATTAGATCTCAGAAGCCATGGATAGTCTCATTCGTCAATGTTTGGCTGCTGTAGCAGCGGGGAGAGCTCGGGAACAGATTGATGTTCCCCAAATCATCCTTGGATTGTTGAATGGAATGCTCAAGTCTGATTTTCCGAACGAGAAGTCATATATCCTATGGAAGAGCAGACAAGTAATAGTTACTAATTTTGTCCTTTAAGGAAGTCTCTCTTAAGAAATGCTTTTTGCATGAGTTTCATATACAACAATAGCAACCCATTATAGTCCCAAGTATTTAGGGATTCGGGGGATCAAGATGTACACAAACTAATTGACCATGCATTGCTACATTTATTGCCCAAAATTAATCCGAACCTTCAATGCTTTGCTCTATATGAATTCTATATAATTTTGACAAAGACTGGAATGTTAGGTGCAAGTCTATATAGTATTCCCATGATTCCTAATGTATATTAGTAATATTACTCTCCCAAGAGTCAAGAGGAAGTTCCATTTGAGGAACCTGAGTGGTATATAAGTTTGGTTAAATTGTTCAGTAACTGAATATATGACTTCCCCAAGTGTTGATAATTGGTTTGCCGTAGTCTCGCATAACATATTTTGTGTTACTTGGAGAATCAGGACATGGTGGACATGGTACTGTTTATCCCAAGAATGGACAAATACAAAGTGTTTTTGAGATGTTGATTGGGCTACTAGCTTCAAGGGTGGGCAACAATCTAGACGGTCTATTGTGTCTTTGTTGGTGGAAATCTCATGTCATGGAAAAGTGAGAAACAAAAATGTGGTGTCTCATTCGAGTGCAGAATCAGAGTATCATGCTATGACACAATGTGCATCTAAGATAAGGTGAATGCACCATCTATTGAGGCCGCTCAACACCACAACAAAGTCTTATCTCATTAGGACGGCTACCAGGATCAAACGACGCCATTGCACCCTATCATGTACCATATCTGCAGCAAAGGATTGCTCAACACATTGCATCTAATATAGTCTTTCGAGAACAAATCATATTAAGATTGATTGCAATTTTGTTTGAGAAAAGATACAAGAAGGCATATAAGAAGACTTGACTGGGACAGTTAGTGGATTTGTTCACTAAAGAACTTAGTAGGAATTGGCTTGATTATCTTTTTAGCAAGTTCGGAATAATAAGTATTATACTCCAAGTTGTAGGGGAGCGTTAGATAATAGAATGATTTAGCCCTGACCCTAATTAGTCTAGCTTTAATTATATGGGACCAACCCATTTTCTAGTCAGAACATGTGTGTGTGTGTGACTGTGTGTGCACGCGCAAGCTAAGTGGTTCAACACCAGGGCATTTGCATCATTCTCTCAACACATATTTACTCTAATTCTCTACTTTTTAAAAAACTTCTTTTCTATTATTTGTTCATATGATAGTGAAATTGTGTTTGGCATTCCACATAAAATTATCAGTAATGACTTCTATGATATTCTCACAAGGCAACATATGATTAAAGTTACTCCGTATTTTACTAGTTCATGTCCTATTGTCTGCATTTGTAACTTTCATGTGGTCTATTGAAGGCAGACATTCTTGAAGAACTTCTTTCCTCAGCTGAGTATGTCAATGATAAGAAGCAATCAGTTGACATTTTGATTGATAGAATCAGAAATCCCGAGGTACACCTGAATCCTTACATGTTCTTGATGGAAATTTTACTCATTTGAAGTAAATAGATTTGTTTGTGCTTCAGGATTGGGACACTAGGATGTCTCCCTCTGAACGCTTTGAAGTCCTATCAGCTATTAGTCATATTGCGTTGACATTATCGAGCATGCCACCAAAGTATGGAATTCTGGGGGAAAGTTATTATTGGAGTGCTGGCTATCAGTTGAATATCAGGATTTATGAGAAGCTTCTTGTTGGGTTGTTTGACATTCTTGAAGATGACCACCTTATAGAGGTGTAGTATTAATGTTTGTATTCTATATTGCTGTATTTACAACTTTATCTTCATTTCTGATTCTGATCGATTTCAGGAAGCTGGTGAAATCCTCAATCTACTCAAGTCATCTTGGTCGATGTTAGGCATTACTCAGAAACTCCATAACGTGATACATGCATGGGTGCTTTTTCAACAGGTAGCACACTCTGCACCAGAATTTTTGTGTTGCCTAAATAGTTTGGCTTATCTTTATGTTCTGCACAATATATTTAATCTCAAGAGTAAGAAATAAAGATAGACTTAGTTCAATGATGCGGCTCTCTTCATTAATGACTTCACACTTTTTCTCTATTTCTATTTTACATTATTTGACCTTGTAAAATTTCATTGTTTGCGTCCATTGCTAGTGGACCTAAACTAGTCACTATTTACAATATTTTGGCTTTTGGTAAATAGTGGACTAAATAAAAATGACACATTATACTTCCTTCAGTTCTTACTTTTTATGAAGTTTTGCATAATAAATACAGCAATGTATAAGGGTCAAACCAAGCCAGCCTCATTTTTTCATAGGGGTAAGACTTTATATCTTGACCCCCATCCAAACGAAGTTGGAATTGTACTCGGACTACTTGTTGTCTTTGTCGTAAAATTGTACTGGTTTTGCACTTTTTTGCATCATGTACTTTAATTCAGTTATTCATCTATCACCATTTATAATGGAAAGTACTCATTGTTTATGTTTTAACGATGTATAAATGTATCCTTGCTATGGATAGAAGGAAATGTTGAGAGAGCAATTTTTGTGAATAGCCTAACATGATTCTCCTCTTGATTCATGTAGCCGACCCCAAGTTACTTGGGATTAAGGCTTTGTTGTAGTTATAGCTGTATCCTTGCTATATTTTGTGTACCTTTAAGGCCCTGTTCTTTTGGGTTGGAAAAATTAACTTCCAACTTCTTCAAACTCCTTCCAGTTTCTTCCAACTCCTTCCAATTCCTTCCAACTCCTAGTTTCTTCCAACAACGACTTAAAAAGGTATTTATATATGTTTAATATAATATAATATTATATATCCAAATTTATAATATATCATCTCACACACGGACAATGATGAATTTTTTAATCCAAAATTAGAGTTTTCTTACATATTTAATTGGATGAATATTTAATTGAGTGGCTTTTTAACCCTTAAATTCTTCCAACATTTTCCAACTCCTAGTTTTTTCCATCTCTTTCAAGTTTCTTCTAACTCTATCTAGTTTTTCCAACATCCAACTCTGAAATTCCAACCCAAAAGAACAAGGCCTAATTCTGGGATGCAGTTTAATATTGCATTTCTACTATGTAGAGTTTTGACAAGACTTCTGATTCATTTTCTTGCTGATTAAAGTTTGTTGCAACAAATGAGGCAGTACTTTTAGACTACTCAATTCATGCAATGCGGAACGTTTTGTCTGCTCAAGATGATGACCATATGGAAGATAACTATATACAGAGCCTATTATGTTTCACTACCTGGAAGGGCTGTCCAACTAGATTGAGTTATTTGCAATCTGTTATTCTTTCCATCAGTATGTGGTGTGACAACAAGTTGCAGGATTATCATCTGCATTTTACTGAGGTTTGTCTGTTTGGTTTGGTTTGTATCCTTTATTGACATTTTTGTGTGGAACTGTGGGTGTAGTTGGAAAGTTATCTCCCAGGATGTAACATTTTCCAGCTGACAAACTTTTTCTACTTTTCAGAAACCTTCTCTCCTCAATGAGGTGATGAGCATGGCATTGATGGTTGGAGCATATAGTTTTGAATCATGTGACAAGAACAAGGTAGTATAAGTGTATACTGGTATGGACCATATATATAGGCCTTTAAATCACAATAAGCAATTACTGTAAAGTGCTAACTCCACAAAAGGGAAAAGAACAACAACAACAACCCAGCCGAATCCCACAAGAGTAGGGAAAAGGAGAAAGCACATGATACTATTTAATTTATGTGACAAGAACAAAGTAGTATAACTGATTTAGACAATTTAGGTCTATAGAACACTAAAACTTATTATTGTAAAGTGATAATTCCACACAAGGGGAAAGGACATAAACATATTAATATAATCATCCATCAAACGTTTCTGACAAAAATAACCAAACCAAGGCAAAGATTTTTTATATACCCCTCTATATAGTAGGCTCCTTGGGGGTGGGGGTGGGGAGGGGTGGGGAGTAAATGTGCATAGACTTTACTTCTATCCCAACTCTCCAAGCCATAAATAGATTCTTTCCATGAAGATGCCTTCCTCACAAGTGTAAAGTTTTAATTCTTATTGCTATGTCCTATACGTATAATCATATAATTCTTCTTTCGGTCAACTATATTCATGGATCTCCATTTTGTTTTTGAATTCTGACAAAATGTTCACAATCACACTCCCTTCCATTGTGGAAACCTCATGGCATTATTTGTGGGATATTGTGTGCTTTATGAGATCACACCTCCCACACCCTACTTTTGAGTGGGACCTACTAATGCAAAACTATGGTATTCTCTTGTCAACTGGAAGAGTATAATGTGTTCTCAGGCTCTTAGCAAAATAACAAGATGTCAAACTAAATCTGTGGTTGCAGTTCACAGGTTTTGAAGCTCTGGATAGTACTCGTTACAGAAAGGTCAAAGATTATGTTGAAAGTTCGATAGAAGCCGTTTCTAAGAGGGTATTATAAGAATGGCTATGCAAACACATGTTTATATTGAGACCAATTAGTTTATGTAAAACATTGATGTGCAATCTCAATGATCTCAGGTAACTGACTCCATAGGTCATAGAATAGATAAGACGCATCCTTTGACTGTGCTCGCTAGTGAGCTAAAATTTATTTCTGAGAAGGAGATGGCTGTATTTTATCCTATCCTCCAACAATTTTGTCCCGAAGTTGGGATTGTTTCTGCCTTGAAATTGCACAAAATTTATGGGGAAAGATTGGTAATTTCTTTTCTTTTGTGTATCTTATTTCGTATTTAGTGTCTTGTTGTTAGTTAGCAGAGTGATCTTTCTTTTCCCCTTTTTCTTAGGGACCATTCCTCAATGATGTATCATGCCTTTCTGAAGGTGTCAGGGAGGTGCTTACTGCAGCTGTTCTCTTGGAAGATTGCTTATTTGAGCTTTATTCTTTGGAAAAAAGACAGAGTGCTCACTATTCTGCTCACACAAATGAATTTGAGTATTACAAGGTCCGTTTATCTTCGAAACCACTAGGTATTTTGGGCAAGTATTTGCTTTATTTGATTCTTTACTATTTATGAAATATTTGTTAAGGCCTTAAGGATCTCTAAACTGTCTGCGCTTCTTTAATTGATTCTTTACTATTTATTTGATTTATTTGATTCTTTACTATTTATTTGATTTTTTCTCCATCATCTCCGATGGAGCCAAAATTTCACCATTTTTTGGCTTTGAGGTGTGATGGAATAAATCAAAATGGATCTCTAAACTGTCTGCGCTTCTTTAATTAATGAAGTAGCAGTTAGTCAAGCAATGCAACTTTCGACGTTGAGCCGGGGGTCTCTTTGGAAACAGCTTCTCTACTTTCGAGTAGGGGTAAGGTCTGCGTACACACACCCTCCCCAGACCCTACTCTTGTGGGATTTAACTGGGTTGTTGTTGTTGTTGTTGTTGTTAAGGCCTTAAGGCAAATGTTCATATTTTGACTTTTGAGGCAAAATATTCATTCTTTTTCACATAGTATTAGTGAATACTGAATATCTCCTCACAAGAACAGAACAAAGAGTGTTATGGCTTCGCATTTTTTGTTGTTCGACCCAAAGAATTTGTGGGAGGTGGTGGGTTACTGAGCCTTTCCATGTTTTTAGGGATTGTTTAGTTGCAATGTGGATGGACTATATGGGATTATTTAAACTGCCGGTCATACTTTTTGGACTTGCAATTCATCTTACAATGCAATAAAAAAGGAGTGTTGGCTTTGGGGATTTAAGGTGGCATAGAGATACTCCTTTTCATTGAGCAACTTTGAAAGATCTAAAGCTGAAATGCGAGGAAAGTATCAATGTATACAAAAGGAATCTTAGTGAATTCAAATCAGTATCAAAGATATGCAGCGAATCAACATATATGAGACTTCAATGCAAAAATCTTGGAAGTGCTTGACTTATAAGATTGTTGAATCAAAAGATGTATTTTTGATGGTCAACAGTAAAAGTGTACAAATATAATAGCAAGAGAGGACTACTTAACTTACGCTTACCAATTACCATTTGACTCCTAGGCTAACTAAGTTACTCTCTCAAGCTGGAGCACAAATGTACTGGACTCCAAACTTGTTACAGATTACTTGATCCAGTGACTCAGAGCTAGGCGCTTGAACAGCATTGATAAAATGTGGTGGTTTGCCAAGTAACATGAACCAATTATATCCGGTTTGACCCAAATTATGACAGAATGAAATTTAGTATGCTAGGGTCAGTTACGTGTAATATAACCTTAGGCAAAACTCAATCATCACTTGTCTCTTGAATCAAATTAATGACGAATCAGTGATTGCCTAATATATAAGAGCTTCATCAACATGTGTAGATCGTAGCATAAGTAATCTTGAAAAAAACTGCTGTCAAGGTGGAAATTGTAGACTTGGTAAGTATATGATCATGAGCATGCACCATATCTGGATGGGTGGATGGAGAATAGCCAAAGCAAATTCCAAGAAGAATCTGTCTTATTGCTTCTTTTGTTAGTGTCAGAATTAGGAATATATAATTCTGGCAAGTGCTTACCAGATTTTTCTGAAAAGCTTCCACTATACAAAGACAAAATTGCACATTCATACAGAATCATACTTGGGTCACACTTGAACTGGGTCATTTTGTGAAACCAGAGAATGAGCTGCTCTATATCAGTATATCATTGGCATGGAGAGGTTTCACCTTGACCCAAACTTTGTGACACTTTGCAAGCCTTCTAAATGATATGGACTTCGGAACCAATAAACTGCTATATTATATCACATGACATGACACAACATTTACCCTTTTCCACCCTGTCTTTTTTAGTTATGTCCTAAAATTTCGTCAAGCGATCTGACTTTGCGTTTATTCCAAAGTTTGATTCAAGCAACCCAAGAGTGATAAAACACCCTCTGTTAATTTTCCCATGGTAATGTCAAGGAAATAGGTTAAAATACAAATTACAGTCCATAAGACAAACAGAACTAATTAGCTTGTCATCATGAACTGACAACAACAGGCATAATAAAACTCGTGAGCATTTCATTTCACGGCTCTGAGCACTACTTCGGAGAATCCTAAGGAAAATTGCAGGATACTGTGCACGCCAAAGAAGAGGAAAGCACCAACATTTTTGTTTTATTTTTTAGAGAGATATAAGCTAAGGCTTTTGATGGATTGAGATTAGACTGATACTATGAAAGAAAAGATAATAGGAGCGTGCAAAATGCCCTTATGATTTATGGCGTGCACACACAAACTTCTAGATGTGAAATTCAACTGATTGTTTTAGTATTCACACAAGCATATGAGTACCAAGCCATGACCGAACATAATCTGTGTACCTTTCTTTTGTGCTTTTAAATTTTTAATATAACCAAAGTATCATTATTGGGTTTTGGGAACTTCTAGACGGGAAAAGGGTCTGGTAAAGTCTAGTAGTTTTTATATACTTTTCCAAATTCCAATCGCATCACATCAAAGGCTTAATTTTAGATAGTAGCTAACATCTAGAAGAATGAATACCAAGCCATGACCGAAGATATGAATACCAAGCCTTGACCGAACATAATATGTGTACCTTTCTTTTGTGTTTTTAAATTTTTAATTTAACCAAAGTATCATTATTGGGCTTTGGTAACTCCTAGATGGGAAAAGGGTCTGGCAAAGTCTGGTAGTTTTTATATGCTTTTCCAAATTCCAATCGCATCACATCAAAGGTTTAAATAGTAGCAAACATCGAGAAGAATGAATTCCTTGTTCCATTTGCAACTCTTTCTATGTATATTTCTAATTACTCCCACATAACATTTTCATTTATGTCTGGCAGATTGGTGAGGTTGCAAGGCCAGTTATTCTTGATTGGGTAATTGCTCAACATGCACGAATTCTGGAGTGGACTGGCCGTGCCTTTGATCTTGAGGTTTGTAAAGAACTTGACTTTAAAAAAATGACACCTAGCATAAAATTTATCTGATGTTTCCATGCTTCACATCAACAGACGTGTTTTTATTCACAATGCGCTTGGGTTCATTAATCAACTAACTGCTTTAGTTGTAATCTTGACCTGTTGAAAAGTGTAACATTGTGAAAATGGCAATTCCTTGGATATATTTCTTATTTATTCATGTGTAATTCCTTACCCGATAAATTCCCTCTTTTTTTCTGCATTAAATGCACCATTCATATGAGCTATAGACTACAATTTGCAGGATTGGGAACCCTTATCACATCAGCAAAAGCAAGCAGCTTCTGTGGTGGAAGTTTTTAGGATCACAGAAGAGGTGTGCCTTTTCCTACCATGTTGGTGTTAATTTTATTCTGTTATTGAATTGCATGATTTGCAACTAATAATGGTATTCAGTGTTGGCATACCTTTTTTAAGCTTTTGTACTCAAATATTCAATACTCCTCATAAAGTGTTATCATCTTCAACCTTCTATCTTTTACGTCCATACCAAAATAAGTTGCATACTTTATGTGAAGACCTTTCTTTATCAGCTAGCTAGAAAGTGGTTTCCTACTCATGCTTATTTTTATTTTCTACTTTGATAGTTTGATTATATGCAACTAAAATGTCCCTTTTGTTGGTACTGTGCTTTCAAATTTACATGCTTATTTTTTTAATATTTGATTTACATGCAGACTGTGGATCAATTGTTTCAGATGAAACTTCCAGTGGACATTACTCACTTACAGGCTTTATTATCTATAATATTTCACACTCTGGATGCCTATTTGCAGAAGATGGTTAGCCAGTTAGGTATTATAATAAAGTGCATACGCTTTTCTATCCCTTAGTTTAATTTTGCATGTTGTATGAACTGTTGTTTTTTTCTGAATCCCTATCTTGCACCTCGTGGTTTAAATAATTTAGTCAGTAGATATGTGATTGCCTATAAATTCCAGAAGATTCTGCTTGATATACCTATCCCCTCCCCCCCTCAATGCACTGACATAAGGGTATCTTACATTGGACATCTTGCTGCCTTGTTTTCCAGCACTGATATCATCAATGATGAAAATATCCCGATAGTTTTGAATTTCCCATCAAAATATCTGTATTTTGAAATCTTCGATATCAATTTGGGGGGTAATAAAATTTCTCTTCAGTCTTAGTAGATTTGGAAATTGTTAGGAAATATAAAAAAAATTGCGCAGAATGATGCGACCTTTTAACATGCTAATAATAATAATAACAATAATAATAACAATAATAATAATAATAATAAATTAATAATAATAATAATCCCACCTTCAATATTTGCAAAGGATAATCCCATCTTTCATAGTAGTTGCACAACATACATTCAAGTTTACCATGTTAGTTTAAAACTAACATGGTGCATTACGTGCCACGACTCTAAAGGTGAAATTATTCCCTGCAAAAATTAAAAATAGGATTATTACTAGTAGTCCATTAAAAGGTCGGATTATTCTGTGCAAACTTTTATTATTCAATTACTATATTCATATCATTTTAATAATTAAAATAATTTGCATTATGAAGAAAATGTTATTTTCATTGAAATAATGTTTATTAAAATTTAGTGTTTATTTAAAACAATTCAAACATAGTAATTAAACAATGAAAAGTTTGCACAGATTAATCCAACCTTTTAACGGGTGGCTAATTACAATCTCACCTTTAACATTTGCAATGAATAGTTCCACCTTTTAGAGTTGGGGAACAAAATGCACTCTCTGTTAATATTAAACTAACAGAGTTAATTTGGATGCATTTTGCGCAACTACTTTGAAATATGTGATTATTTCCATCCTGTTAAAAGGTTGAATTATTCTACACAATTTTTTTAAAAATTTGAATTTTTTAGGAAATATAGGAAAGCATAAAAACATCTTTGCAATATCGATAATCCCATTAATTTTAAAAAAAACTTTCAAATTGATTTTTTTTCCCATAAAAATTTCAAATATCGGCATCAAAATATCCACTAATTTTTTCATAAATTCAAAGCACCGATATTTGTATAAAAGGTAAAGGTTGTTTCCATTAAACCTTTTGATGCATTTACTGCCCAAAACATCATAAAAGTAAGAAGCTACGGAAGTTAAATGTGCCAATTTGATTTAGTCCATTGTGACTTGACGTCATATAAAATGTCCTATCACAGTTCTCTTTATAATTATTTGTAAACGTCCTTCACCAATCCTTGGACTTGCCCATAATTCCAAATTTCCAATGTATTGCACCATTGCTGACTTGCACCTATTTTAACATTGAACATCATGCTATTATGAGCAGTCTGTTTCTGAACTACAATTTCATAAATATTTTCTGAAGATGCTCCAGTCTTTTTCTCGATAAAGATGTTAAATTCGGTAGAGATGTGATGATTTCATTGCCAATTTTTATATCTAGTCCCTATTCATTTAAATGTTGGCCAAAAATGCATCCAATTTTTTGACATAAATATTATTTTCCTATACTTCTTTTCCGTTCTTACTTCATGTAGCTATCTAGCTATTTGTGTTTTGCCAAATGTGAAGCAACCTTAGATATCAGTGAAATTGTTTTTGCAATATATATTTTTCATACTGCAGTTGACAAGCGGGATCTATATCCCCCTGTTCCTCCGTTGACTCGTTTCAAAGGGACAACATTTCCAGTAATTAAAAGAAAATTGGCAGAGGCTGTGGTTCTTGATGATGAAGTGCATAACAAGTTGAATCAATTAACAATATCCAAACTCTGTGTCAGATTGAACACCCTTCAAGTGAGTACAATTCTTTCTGGTAATGTCTGATATGTCAAAATTCAAAACGATGCTGTTTTATTGTGTGTATTCTATATTACCTGAATTTAACTTGTTTTTGTATAAATGACTTATCTTTCTCATATTCAGTACAAACATATTATATATATGTTTTTGTTCAAATGGTTTCTTACTCTCTTTGGTCATGTTGGCCATAGTTTCGGAGTTCTTTGCATTGCCTATAGTGAATTTTGAAAATAACTTACGAGCAACTTGACTAGTTGTATCTTGACACACTTTTTGATGTTACAGTTCTAACTGGATTAGATAATCTCATAATTAGCATTCTTTGTATTCAAATACCAATTTAATAAAAGAAAAGAATGAAAAAGACTTTGAAGCATGTGCTGGGTGTTGAAAATTTCTTAATATACGGAGTAATTTTTGTTTTTAGGATGATAAGATGATCTCTTTGCCATTGTGACACTTCTCTTCACCATGTTCCTCCCATTTAACATTTACTATACGTAATAAATTTCTTGGAATTAAATACTTACTCTGTACCTAAATTATTTTTCATTTAATTCCTACTATATATGCCTTTTGTGCTTGAGCCGGGGGTCTCTTCGAAAGGGCCTCCTTACCTAGGGGTAAGTTCTACTTACACCCACCCAGACCCCATTTTGTGAGATTATTTACTGGGTTGGCTGTTGTTGCTTTTTCAGTTCAAATAGGTAAAATTGGTATGGTTGATATATATTTGGAAAGACAAGAGAGATAATATGAACCACTCATTTTTTCCTTAAAAGGAAATGTCAACTTAATTTTGGTACGGTCTAGAAAGGAAAGTGGTAACTTAATTCAGGGATGGAGGGAGTACACATTGGGTGATTTTGTGTGTGTATTCATCTTCTTTGTTTCTAAATGCAGTATATACAGAGACAAATTACCACCCTCGAAGATGGTATTAGGAGGTCTTGGTCTACTATAAGAGTTATTGAAGATAAGATATGTTGTAAGTTTCTCTCTGAGATTCTAGAGCCTGAAAATTTATTTAACCTGCACATGTACTTTTCTCTGATTCTTCATTCGACCTATGCATTTGCCATTGTAGTTTAGCTCATTGCTGGCCATGATTATTTTTCAGTTAGACTCATGTGTATGATGTAATAGTCCTAAATGTTAGGTGGTCATGTACTCCAAATCCTACCTTTACTAGGCAGTTTTTGGCAGATTCTACTACCATAAAATAAAATAGAGAGCTAGCATTGGATCAAGTAGAAGAGAATCACTACATTCAATGCCTAAATCACTCCCATCATTCACTGTTTATGTGTCATTATTGTCCCAAAGGTTATCACAGTATTCACTTGTTACATGATTCCTTGTAATTTATATGGAGGTCGCCAACCCATTGGTAAGGGGAGGAAATGAATAAAAGATATGAACACAATATTAGGGAAGCGAGAGAATGGAGCAAATATATCATTTTCCTAAGTAGCATATAGGAGCATACATTTCTGGACGAGGCTAGTCATTTGAGAATAATGGCTTTACTAATGTTCATTTTTTTCTCTCTAGCTGAAGGAAACCCACCAGAACTTTCAGATGGAAGTTCAGATATGCGTGATGAGTCAATGGATGAGCTTTTTGTGGCTACCTTTGATTGTATAAGAGATTCTGCTGCTAATGCGATTCGAAAGACATGCGACTTTTTGGGTAAGCTAGTAACTCCCAAGTTAAGTTGGCCCATTTCCTATGATAAGGATAGCTCAAACTACATACATTTATAAAGTTACATCAGAAAATGTTTGGCTCCTATATCTTTTCTGCGTATGAACAAAAAATGAGGATTTATGGGAGAGCCTACAGTTTCATATATGTAATGTTGATATAGCTCCACAAATTCGTTCATCTACCTGTAATTCTGTATTTGATCTCAAAGCCTATTATATCAATCCAAACTTATTACATAAAAAAATATCGAAGGCATGTTACTTTTCAGCATATATTCCTTGATTTAAAAACCTCAATAGATGCCATGGAAATTAATACACTTTCTTTGCTTAACTTTTAGGTACAAGAGTTGTGTTTTGGGATCTTAGAGAAGCATTTGTGTTTCATTTGTATCATGGCAGTGTTGAAGGCGCGCGGTTAGAGAATGTTCTTCCACAGTTTGACAATGTAAGATACATAGAGACTTCATCTTAACTCTCACACCATTTCCCATCTCTCCAATAACAATAACGATGACATGATATATTTCTTCTGTCTGACGGATATAGGTACTATGTAACACAGATACTAAAAGGATTTGTCAAGTTAGTTGGAAATTGGAATTAGTAATTGTAGGTGTAATTCCCAGTTTTATCCTTTTGTATAGTTATACTAGTGAATTACTCATATCTTGGTGTGAGTTACATGCACACCCAACATAGAGACTGAACCATCTTTGTGGGAGCTGGACAGACAAAAGGGGAATGCAAGCCTTAACACCCAAAAGGATAATAAAACACCATATCACACTCCATTGAATGTGTGTTCAAATGCAACGCAGTTTCCAGCTTGAAGGTTATGATTGTCCTTTATAAGAGCTCACACTTGGTTTTATCATTGCAGATTCTCAATGATGTTTGTGGTTTGATTGATGATGATCTAAGAGACCTTGTTGTTTCACGTATATACAAGTCATCATTGGTATAGTCTACTCTTACATATGTACCTGTAAAAGCTTACTTTCGGAATCTAACAGTGTTCATTTCATAGGAAGGTTACATTTGGGTATTATTGGATGGTGGTCCTTCACGCGCCTTTTCTAACTCAGATGTTTCAATGATGGAAGAAGACCTCCGTATGTTAATCGTAAGTTTCCTTTCTTTTAATTTTTTATCTGCATATTTTTTTGGTCGTCCGTCATTCCAGAATTACATGTTTGAGGAATTGAGGGTCTCTTTGGAAACTGGAGAGTGTCAGGGTAGGAAAAATAGGGGTGAAATCGGAATACAACATCAACAACCCAGTTGAATCCCACTACAGTTTTTTAAATTGGGGGGGGGGGTGAAAAATTTGTCAAAGTTTAAACTCAATAAGTCAGTATTCAATCTTGTTGATACTTAGAGGTCATTTTATTTATGAGTATATATTTTCTATAAATGCTGGAAAATGTAAATATATGTAAAATGTTCAAAGTGCTCTAATAGAATTAGGTTTTCCATGGCAAGACCGAACATAGAAATACCACTTGTATTTTTCTTAGCAGTATTGTTTTTCTTTTCCCTACCATTTTCTAGATTCCAAACATATCTTAAATTACTTGAACTGAAAAGGGGAAAATTTGCTTCGTTCTTTAGTTGCGAGTGGCGACACTTCCATTGATTTATAAATAAATGTGAACTTGAGTTTTCTACATAATAAATTAATTCTGTGTCATTATAACCTCTCATAATCGTGTGCTAAAACTAAATGTTCTTTTCTTTCTTTCTAGGATTTGTTTGTTGCTGATGGAGAAGGGCTTCCCCGGTCATTAGTTACTGAGGAAGCAAAAGCTGTGCAACAAATAATAAGCTTGTTTTCCCTCCAGGTCCGGCGTTTTAGAGTATTTGAATTCTTAAACCTACGGTCAAAGGTTCAAGTTTTAGATTTTTGATATTTTTCCTTCAATGGTGTAGGCTGACTCTGTGATTAGATTGTTGATGACTTCTAGTCAACATATGACAGCAGGACATTATGTACATCAAAATGATTTTAGGAACACCGGAGATGCACAGACTTTAATGCGTGTTTTATGTCACATGAAAGATGCAGAGGCGTCGAAGTTCTTGAAGATGCATTATAACCTTCCTGCGTCTTCAGGTACTATTTAATATCCCCTTACTTTCATTGATCTCTTTTTGATCACGGGATGATGTTATTCATCTCGCTGTCGTGCCAGATTTGACCAATTTGGTTACTATGTTTGCTATGCTGTCAAAGTTGATTTGTAGTTTTATACGTTGAGTTAAATGCCAGAATTTTATCAGTCGAGGACTTGAAAGATAGGCCTATCCGGACTTAAGGATTCCCTCAATTCATATTTAACCATTATCATTTTTGTGATACATCAAAAGTTGAATGAATATGGACATCATGTCTACTCCCATTCAACTTTTGATGTATCACAAAAGTCACAGTGATCAATTAAATATGAACGGATGGAGTGAAATATATCAACTATAGACTTGTAGTGTTATCACTTAACATAATATTGGTGGAATTAGATATGGTGTTAAGGCTTTTGAGTCATGCCAGATTTTAATAGTGTAAGCTTTTGGGTCTTCGGATTGATAGAATCTAAATTTTCAAGCCTTCCTCAACCAAATTGCAAAATACCCCTCCACATTTTTTTTAAATTTGAACAAAACTACGACGATTTATCTAAAATATCCTAGAGATGCTATATGATCGTTGTTGACATGAATATGAGCAACAAACTCGTTCATCATTTTAAACTCGTTTCTCAAAAATGAGATTCATTAAAAAAGTAGACAACTAAATCCGGACAAAGTAATAGCTGACAAGTACAAGTAGTCCCCTTGTCACTTCAAGCTGCTGAACTGAAATAGTTATTCTTCTTGTTGAGAGCAGAGTATGAGGAAAACACTCGAGAGGAATCTGTTTCTGGTTCCCCTCTGATAGCGGATCTTATAAAGCGAAGCGCGTCGCTTCGCTTGTCTGACAGAGGCAGCAGCAGCTTCAGATCTATAAAGAAAAAGTTTCACGAAGCCACGTCCGATCTCAGGCATGTTGCTTGGTAACAAAGACAATCTCTTTCAGTCTCTATGAATTTTATACATACATACATACATACACATATATGTGTGTGTGTATATTTGTACTCTGAATGCTCTATCCCCTGATTGAAGTTTACACACATTGCTGTAGTTTTTTGCTGTACAGCCTAAGGCTAATTAACAGCTTCTGAATTGTTACCTAAAAATCATTCATTAACATTGTTACCAAGACAAATAACATTAACATTGTTACCCTAATGATAGTTTATGTGCTCTTATGTTTCTCGAACATGTTTTTGGGCAATGCTTTGGTAAATCTACCACATTCTTACCGTATTTTAATTTAATTCACTTGGATTACAGCCTTACGGGAAGAATCGGTATCTTAATCCGTGCGATGCTGAATTTCGAAAAGAATTTGTTGCTGATTTTAGAAAATCACTTCATGTTTCCTTCATCCCAAAATGATGTTTACTCACTCTTTTTCAGATTACGAAAAATTGTACTCCGTAAAGTATATTTTTAGTATTTCGTAGAAAAATGATTTTATTAGATTTATCTTGTGAACTTTTAAAATTTAATTTCATTGTATAAATATGCAATATAAACTAAGAATAATCGATTGTTTAAGTTCGTCTAATTTGACCTTAAAAAGAGTAAACATGACAAATGCACTAGGAGTCTAGGACAAAGTGGTATTTCTAAATCACAAAGAAAGTCTGTTTAGGCAAACGGATGACCCAGTGGCGGATCCAGAAATTTTTTTCGCTGGGGGCATTATGTAAATTAAAGTGAAAAAAAATTTTTAAAAATAAGAGACAATTAAATAGATAGAACATACTTCTTGCCATTAAAATTAAATTAAAAAACAAGGTACAATTAAATAGATAGAACATACCTTTCACAATTGTCTTCTTCGAGTTTTCATCTTTTGAAAGCGATCAATTATATCTTCATTTGTAACATTTAAAAAGGCTTCCTTTTCCTCAGCACAAATCACACAAGCATTCAAAAACTCATCCCCCATTCGATTCCGTAAATCCGACTTCACATGTTTCATTGCTGAAAAACATCTCTCAACGGTTGCCGTAGCAACAGGTAAAACCAAGGCAAGCTTCAATAAGCGATACACCAAAGGAAATGTAAAATTTTTTCTTGTACTTACCATCACTTTAGCAAGCTCAACTAAACCACTCAAGTTACCAAATCTTTCATCTTTTTGTACATTGTGAATATAAAGGTCAAGCTCATTTTCAAGACTCATCCTGTCATCATTACTAAAATCATTGGGATACATTTCAGCCATCCTCAATATTTTCGATTTGTCAAAATCACAGAACGAGTTACGTGGATTCAAAGAAGCAATGCAGATAAGCAATTCGGAGCTCACTTCATTAAAGCGGTCATCAAACTCATTATTCACCAAATCCAAAACTTGGTTGCAACAAAGACCCTCAAAATATTGTCGATTTGTGAAACCGGTCTTTTGTCTTTGACTTTTCAGATTAACATAATCCTCTTTCATGTCCAATACCTGAATATTATATTTAGCACAAAAAGTTGATATCTTCACCAAGAGAGAATCAAACCATTCTGACGTTCTAAACATCTTCAATTGATATTTTGTTGATTCTAGCAAAGACATCGCATTCAAGATATCCTGATCTTTCCTTTGAAGAGCTTGTGATAATAAATCTGTAACTCCTAAAATACTAAGCATTAAATGCAAGTAGAGCACAAATTCAAATGATTTAAAATAAACTCGAAGACCAATTGCTTGTGTCTTACTAGCCCTCTTATCTGCTTCATCCTCAACATATTTAAGAACTTCAAGAACGGAAGGAAATAAATCAACCAAGCGCAATAGTGTTTTATAATGTGAACTCCAACGCGTATCTCCGGCTCTTATTAGAGAAAGTTCTTGGTTTAATCCCCTTCCAGTTCTAACTTCATCATTTCCAATTGCTTNAAAGACATCGCATTCAAGATATCCTGATCTTTCCTTTGAAGAGCTTGTGATAATAAATCTGTAACTCCTAAAATACTAAGCATTAAATGCAAGTAGAGCACAAATTCAAATGATTTAAAATAAACTCGAAGACCAATTGCTTGTGTCTTACTAGCCCTCTTATCTGCTTCATCCTCAACATATTTAAGAACTTCAAGAACGGAAGGAAATAAATCAACCAAGCGCAATAGTGTTTTATAATGTGAACTCCAACGCGTATCTCCGGCTCTTATTAGAGAAAGTTCTTGGTTTAATCCCCTTCCAGTTCTAACTTCATCATTTCCAATTGCTTCTTCCAATTTTTGTTTTTGACTCTCTCGAATCATATCTTTTCTCTTGCAAGATGCACAAACAAGATTCATGAGAGTAGATATTAAGTCAAAAAAATTTCCAGCACCTAAGTGTTCATTGACAATTGTCACAACTACTAATTGAAGTTGATGGGCAAAGCAATGCACATAATATGCAGAAGGATTTTCATTTAAAATCAAAGCTTTCAAGCCTTTGAACTCACCAGACATATTGCTTGCACCATCATAACCTTGTCCCCTAAGCTTCATCAAACTCAAATTATATTCAGCAAACAAACAGTTAATAGCACACTTGAGTGACAAAGCATATGTATCCTTCACATGTATGAGACCAACAAACCTCTCTTTAACAATTCCATTCTTATCAACAAATCGTAAAACCACAGCCATTTGTTCTTTTTTTGAAACATCACTTGATTCATCTACCATCAAGGCAAAGATATTATCACCAATTTCATCAATAAAATGAATACAACGACATGCAATGGCGCTTTTTATTTTTCCTAAACAGCACTTTGTAATTTTAAATAGCTATACAATTTTTGCCTTATTTGTCTAGTTTTAATTATTTACAATCTAAATTAATTAACTTTAATCGTGATTTAAATAAAATTCATAATAACTATTGATGCGTCAATAATTTTATTAGATTTTATTTGTAAAATATTTCCAAAATATTTTTCCTTATCTAATTAATATAACATGCAATTTTTATTTATTTATAGGTCAAAAGTCAAATAAGATTAGACAATGCACTAGGAGTCTAGGACAAATGGGTATTTATCGAATTTAACCTTACCGATCACTAAAATAAGATTTTTTCAAAATCATGTACTCCGTACTAGTACTTTTTTTTAAACTACTCCGTACTACTTTAATATGAATAAGGTTATGTTTTCATTTTTTCTTATTAGTCAGTTTTAGTATATAAACTTATGCTCCCTATTTTCAAACAAATTTGTAATGATATCATAGTATTTAATTGTTTATAGTATTCATAATGTTATTAAGTATATTTGAATAGTACTTCAAAATTCAAAATAAAGTATTCTATTCTCTAATAGGTTTAATACGCGTATCTTGATATTTCATACTCCGGAGTAATTTTTAGTGTAAAATTTAAGTGCTAGTATAACTTTTAATATTCTTAAAACCCATTAGCTAGATCCGAACCCGATGATACTGAGTTATAAAAATGTCATTCTCAACCTGAACCTGAACTTACTTGATTCCGATGTAATTCGAACTCGATGTAATTGAACACAAACTCACCACTGACAGACTTGTCCGCTCTACGGCCACTACCCATATTTTAAGAAAATTGTTGAAAAGTGAAATAAAATTTAAAATTTAAAATTTAAAATTTAGAATTTAGAATTTAGAATTTATAATTGGACTTTTAAAATAAAACTTTTAATATGAAATTTTTAATGTCAGATTTTAAACTTTAAATGTTAGATTTTAAAATTTAAGTTTTTAATTTTTAATTTTTAGTTTTAAATTAAGTTTTAAATTTTAAATTCGAAAATTTAAAACTTAATATTTAAGTTTTAAATTTGAAAATTTAAAATTTAATTATACGTTTTAAATTTTAAATTTTAAATTTTAAATTTTAAGTTTTAAATTTTAAATTTTAAATTTTAAATTTTAAATTTTAAATTTTAAATTTTAAATTTTAAATTTTAAATTTTAAATTTTAAATTTTAAATTTTAAATTTTAAATTTTAAATTTTAAATTTTAAATTTTAAATTTTAAATTTTAAATTTTAAATTTATAAATGCAAATTTTTTAATTTTTAAATTTTAAATGTTTGATTTTAAAATTTAAGTTTTTAATTTTTAATTTTAAATTTATGT